ATCCTGCACCATAATCCTTGCGAGATTTCCTGTAAGAGCTCAGAAAAAGGAAACAAAATATGACTGTGGAGTGAAAAAAAAATTGTAATGATTTAAGAATCATGGCAGTAAAGTTGCTGAACATTCTCTTCAGCTAATAGGCATTCAGGAGGAGAGATAGACCAGAAAACCAAATGCAAACGTGATCCCATGACTGCACTAAGTAATAATTAACAATCAATGTTTTTTAATTGTATTCCCCTTTTTGCAAAGGCTTCTTGCTTGTAAATGTTATTGTTAACTTTTATTAATTCTTTAACACAGCTGTTTGCCTACGTAAGATACAAAATACAAAACTAAAGGACAGTGAGGAATTCAGTTGTCCCGAAGCCAATGTAGGACTTCAGTCTCCACTGTTCAGGGAAATCATTATGAAGTCAGCAACTCAGGCACTGTTTGAGGATTACAGTGTGGATCATGTGTGAGGCTGGCCTTAAGACCTGAAGTGACACAACAGACAGAAGCTGGGTGGTCTTCCAGCAGCACGTGTGCTTTGGTAGCTGCTCCACCTGCAAGTCTGCAAATTGAGTACTCACTTTATAATCAGCACAGTCCCAGCCAATGTGACACAGAGCACACATTGTCTTGCACAGATAGAAGATGCACTTGATGGATGAAAGGCTGTGCCAAGAAGAAAAAAAATCTTGAAGGGAAAACAATATTCTTCTAGCTAATAGGAAGAAATCTAGGTTACCCAGCTTTCCAACTTTTTATTGCTCTTAATCTTATCTTAATTGCATGTGGAATGACTCCCTGATATTTTCTAGGTTCTGGAGTAATAAGTGAACATTTTATGCCCCTATTAGTCATACACAATTTCGCACAGCAATGGTATGATCCATAGCTCTACATTTTTCTAGGAAGATTACCTGACATGAAACAGAGTAATCTAAAATTTTCTGTTAGTGTTTCTGCATGTAAAAAAGGTAAGTACAGTCGTGGGCTAGGTCAAAACTTCTTCTTACAATTTAGCTTTAACCTCTTCCAGATTCTGTAGATTTTCATGGATTGAGAAAGAGAATGAGTAAAGGCACCACATTTCAAGTTCCTGATGCACTGTGTCCACTGTTGCTTATCAAAAAAACCCAGAAAACAAATATACTTCTGCAAATGAGGTTAAAGATTTGGCTGTGAAACATTTGGGCTCTGTCTGAAGAGGTACTAACTAAATATATGAAATCTGTAATAATAATGTCTGTGTATGTTATTTCTACTCATGATGCACAATCCATATTCATACAAAAACTGCATGGTGCACATGTATTTTAACAAAAAACAGATAACTTTTTAACAGAAGTTTTCTTTAAGAGGTTTTCCAGACAAGTACTGACCTAGACAAAGCCTGTTGCATTTATACTGGGAAATTATCTTCCAACACAACCCATCTTATATGTACATGTATGATTCTATATTATGGGATTAAAAAAAAATAGAAAAAAAAGCTAAGCACTTTACATCTAATTTCTTTAGGCATGCTTCTTGTAATTCTGAAGAATCCAAATCACTACGGTTTATGAAACTGGACTTGCTTCTTCCTCCAGATATTTAAAATTATGTAAAAGAAAATATTTAGATAAGAATGAGAATTCCACTACCAGCATTTGCAGCGTTCAACAGACACTGATCTCCCTGATTTCACTAGTCATCTGATCTTTCTGGGGTCATAAAAATATGAAACTTGTAAACAGTAGATAAGACTTGGCATGGAGCTCGTACGTCAGCGGATAATACTGAATAGATATAAATGCACATCCTGTCCTAGCTGCACATTTCCTCTGAAAACAGAAAGATACCGAAGGAACAGGCTGACATGTTTGTGTTACAGAGTAAGGTTTAAATATCTTTTACATCAATCCACAATTTTACACATTACAGCTTTCAAGCATTGCATTTTGTAGTTACACTATCATTTTGACTTCCATTAACTCCTTATATCTTCCCTTTGCTCGGAAAATAATGAAGAAATAAGGAGGATTAACAGAACAGCTCTCTGTCAGAAGTACAATCAATGTTTATTTTCCTTTAAAACTTTTTAAACAGGCACTGATATTATTGCCCTCGGCATACCTATCAAAGGGGCTCCACAGAAATGTTTTCCTCTTGCACAACAGCACACATCTGGTTTGCTCTAGGCATGACAGTAAAGCTTTCTCATGCACAGAACAAGTCTCTGTGCAAGGGAGATGTACGGACTCGTCTGATACAGAGGAGATTCTTGCAAATGATTGATAACAGTACAGGAATGAGCAGTTGACTTTGTAATAATTTTTCTAATAGAAGAGACCAGTAAAGGCCACATTGCAGCTACCTGTATTCTGTACCTGCCTGGTGAATAATTCAGTTTTGATGTGGGAGATCTGGGTGTGCTATGAGTACACTAAGCAGCTTTCAAAACTGTTTTGGGAGCCAGTCAGAACTGGATGTAGGATGGATGTACATCCAGTCAACAAGCTGGATGTAGGTCAGAGGCTGCCAGGTTGATGGCCTTGCTCTACATGAGCTAATGGTCCCTTCTGGCCTTCATTTATGATCTGAATCACCTGCTTTTGGACAACAGTCATCTACTCAATGCTGCACATAAGCAGACCTCCTGAATTCTTGATTTCATATCTCCAGTTTATTAATTCCTGCATTTCCTTAGACAAAGAACTGTTTCCTTTATTAAAGAAAGGAAATATATGATTCACAATTTTCTACTATTACTTTAGTACTCATTTTCATCTGTTTGCTACTTCACAGCTCCCCCTGGGAGAGGCTCACAACACTCAGCCTGGACAGATGTTCTCAGCCCTGTTCAATGCTGCTGTGAGAGGCTGGAGCTAGAAGAGAACATCTACGCTTCAGTAATTTTCCCAAACTCAGCTGAATGTTATGTCCAGAAGATTTACCATTTATTTGAATTAATACAAGATTCTCTAGTGTCATTGAGGTAATTTTGGAAAAGGAGAAAAGCATAAGTAATTTTTAGGCATAAAAAATGGCTAATACAGGTTGCACTAGAGATATTGATAAAGATCCTTTAGATATTTGCTTAACATATTCTTCCTTATATAAATAAAATGCACTATAAATGAAATAGTTTTCAGATTTACTAAAACTAAATTGCATTGTTTTGTAACATAGCTCTTGGAAATCTTGGAGGTATTGCTGAGAAATGACACAGCTATCTCTGAGAGAGGAAAAGGAGAACATAAGAGTTACAGCTTAGTCAGTGTAATTTTATATTTGAAAAGCTATTAGGACCAAGTATGAACTGTTCATTTAAAACGTTCAGCCTAACTTCACAGTAAAACTAGATGGGGGAAGCCATAGGAAAAAAAGAAATACAGTGGAAAATGCCATGGGAAAAAAAAAGTAAATGGTTATAACAAACCATACATTAATCAATCAGACATTAATATAAGCAAACCACCAACACTGGATGGACAGAAGGTGCTGGAATGGAAAATTTTAATTCTTGTTTTGTATTCTGCTACAATGATAGCTTTAGCAATATTTCTGTTTGGATTATAAACTATCGGAGATACAGTTCTTCCACTAAAAATTAGAGGTCCACTAGTTTAAAACAAATCTTCATATATATTTAAATGCAAGAGACATTGACATTGCTTATGTACTGTTGTGTACCAGAAAACAAGAATGGGTGTGGCACGCAACTCCTAGGTTGCAAATAACTGTCTGAGCAGACACTACTGACAAGAGTAATAGTACTGTTATGTTAACAAGGCCATTAAGCAATAAGCACCATGGAAAAGGGGTGAAGTTCATAAACAAGTCAATTTTCAGGAATTAACCTGGGGAAGGTCATTAGAGCCACTGCATGAGGCTGCTCTTCTCTTGTCAGCTTCCACGTAGAGGCTTTCAAAGGGACAATCATGCTGTCTCTTCTGAAAAGTTTAATTATTATACTGGTTTATTTGGATTTTCATCTGGCGGCAGGACATGAAACCTGAATGACTAGGGGGTCCCCTGAAGACTCCAGTGTACAGAAGAAACCCGAGTTTCATGTCGTCAGGATGGCAGAGGGTCTGGTTGCAGCCAGTGCCACTTGCTTACTATCTCTCCCTAAGGTGCTCAGCCAAACAACCTGCTGGGCACCACAGGGTGAGCCTTGCTGGGCAGGATTTCACTTCTAACTTTTCAGCTTTTGGCACCACTTCATGACACCCATTTTGGGCACAGCTCAATCTGAATTATATAACACGGTGTTATGGAACTGCATGGAAGACTGGCTGTGTAAGAGAGTTGAGGGGACATGGTGTGAAGGGAATTCTGTTGTATTAGTCCTGCCTCTGAGGCTGTATGTGGCCCTAACACCACCTGCCTTCCAAAATATTCTGGCATGCCAGACTTAAGGAATGCACTGCAAGGCAACTGCAAAACACAAAATCTAGAAGGGGAGACACAGGCAGTCGTCATCTGCAAGACGAACAGAGCTGGACAACAAAGATGATGGAGGGACTGGAGTATCTCTCTAACAAGGAAAGGCTGAGGGATCTGGGCCCGTTCAGTCTCAGGAAGAGGTGACTGAGAGGGGACCCCATCAGTGTCTGCAGGGACGGGTCAGAGGAGGGACCAGGCTCTGCTCGGTGGTGCTGAGCAACAGGACAAGAGACAAAGGGGCAGAAACTGATGCAGAGGAAATTCCACCTGAACATGAGGAAGAACTTTACAGCACGGGTGACCAGGTACTGGAACAGATTATCCAGAGAAGCTGTGGAGTGTCAATTCACAGACACTGAAGAACTGTCTGAAGACAATCCTGCGCCATGTGCTCTGGATGATCCCGCTTGAGCTGGAACGGATGACCTGCTGCGGTCCTCTCCAGCCTGACCCGTTCTGTCACTCTGAACCCGTCGCGCTGCACAAATGGACTACAACTCCCGGCATGCCCCCGGCCGCCGTGCTCCGCCCCCGCCGCGCGCGCGCCCTGTCGCGTGGAAGGTGAGCGCGGGGCAGGCCGGGAATGCGAGTCGGGATTGGCCGGCTCGCGCCCCGCTTTCCAGCGTGCCGGGCAGCAGGAAGCGGCGGCGGTGGAGCGAGAAGCGGCGCGGCGAGGAGCTGCTCCCGGTGAGTCCCTGGCGGAACCGCCTCCCCACCCCTTGGAGCGCCGCGTCGTCGGGCCGCGACCCGGCCGGGAATTGAAAAGGGATCGATTTAATGCGCGCTTTGATGACGTAATAAGGAGTAACGAGGCGGCGGCGCTGCCGGGCGCCAGGTTCGGGCCGGCAGCTGTCAGGTCCCCTCTCGGGACGCCCCGCGAGACCCCCGTGCCTGCTGGCGCCGTCCGCACCGCGCTCGGATCCCCCGTGCGCCGCGATCCCTGGGCGCGGGCTAGGCCTTCCGCCTTTGCCCGCTCCGGGCACTCGGCGGCCGCTCATTGGCTTCTGCGCCCGGGGCGAGCGCTTCCCGCGCCTTGCGATTGGCCAGGATCCCGCTGACTGACACCGGCGACCGCCAATGAGGCCGCTGGTGGCCGTGGGGCGCGCGGGCCGCAGCCCGCGGGAGGCGCGCGCGGGTGGCGGGAGCCCCGGGCGGGGCGCGGGTGGCGGGGGCGCCGCCTGGCGGCCGCTGTGCCCACGATCCCAGCGGGAGTGGGAGCGACCCTGCGTCCGCGCCGCGGGGCCGCGGGGCGGGATTGGAATCGAGGCCTGCGCTGTGCCCGAGCGTTGGTTTTGAGGAAAACGTGCGGCAAGTGTGCATGAGGAATTCCCGCTTCTGCACTGCCCAGCCCGCTGCTCCCCCTTTTCCAAGATGGCGGTGCTGTGGGCACTCCGCATCAGCTCATCCGCGTCACCCGAGCTGCCCCAGCACTGCCCCGCCTGCGCCTGTGGGATCCCTGTGCGGGAAACAGACATCTGGTGCCTGGAATCCAGGGAATTGCAGATGTAACCCAGGAGAGTTGTAATAATAACATGGTTTCATTGAGGTGGATTTATAAAAGCGGCTCGGCGAATCATACGCACATCACATGAAATGTGTCCAGGGTTAGAGGCTCGTAAGGATAAGGTATTTCCATGAGTCTTTCAAGGAAATGGCAAAGACAACTGAAGCAGTCCGTTCTCTGTCCCTCATCTGTGAGCTCACTCATAAGTGGGAGTTTGGATCACTTCTGTCCGTCTTCCTTGTCTGCTTTGTTTTCCCAACTGTACTTTTAATTCTTTCCTCAGAAGCAGTCACACTCATTCAACGTGTGCTGCTTTGTCAGGCCTTTTTGTGCAGTATGACTGAGGTTTTTAAAATGAGAATACTCAATGAATGCTGCAACTGCATTTAGATACACAGTAAATTCACATTTTTATTTGTTCTGTGTAAATTAAATGAACTGTCTAACATAAATTATAAGAGTTCTAAGAAAAAACTTTTTAAAGTATCTTGTGTTTGCTGGGCTAAGGGTGCTCTATTATTTTGAGCTTTGAGGTGTTTCTTTTAAGACATCCCTACAATCAATTTGGAAGTAAAGTGAAAATCATGTGAGGTGAAAACCGTGAGATTTGGAGGTCAAATTTTTGTTTTAAGGAATTATGCAAGTCATCTGCCCTTTTATAATGTGTCAAAAATGGGCAAGAAGAATTAAACTGTGAAGTGGGTAGCTGACACCTTCCCACATGAGACTTTATGTGAAATACCAGATGGTGAAAGAAAGGCGGGAACTTCTGGCTGTCTGTCTTAGACCCACCGTTATAGATGAGGTGAAGAGAATGCAGCAGCAGCATCTGCTCCCTTCCACCTTAGCTTCCCCTGCAGGTTCCTCTGCCCACTTGAAGACCCTGACAATTGTTTCTGGTGTGAAATACGGAATACGTAGAATTTGCTTAAGGAAGAATTTGCTTTGATGTTGGATCTTTGTGTACTGTCAAGCCTCTTCAACAAGAAGGGAGATTTAATCCATGAAACAGAGAGCAGCCAATAATCTCTGAGTAATGTTCAGGTGTTAAAAAATAAATTACTTGTTAGTAGAACTGCCTTCTTAATCTTCTGAAGACATATTTCAATGATCTCAGACATAAAGGCAGGCTAACAAAGCCTGGGAGAATGGGTGTACCACTGATAGTGGACACAGAGAATGCAGAATTTAGAGACCACAGGGACATGTAGCAGAAACCATAAAATCAGAAAGAAACTAATAAAGCAACCTTAGCAATCAGCTCCAGCTGGCTAACGGGTAATTCTGGCTGGGGGAGATTGCAACGACCAACCCAAGAAACCCACGGATCCAAAAGAGGAGAGAGGCTGAGCATGTGAACTAATTGGCATGGGAAGCAAGAAAGTCATTAACGAGTAGAAGAGGGAATACTAATTAATAAGATAACTATGTTGCATGTAACCAATGAACACTAATCCTTTTGCTTGCTAAAATGTGGAATTAGTAAAAAGTTTTTATAGTTTGGTACTTAATTTGTGGAATTACACCAGGCACCTAGGCATGCACAATTGTTAAATAAATAATCAGTGTCACCTTGAGTGTGTAGTTTTTGGCTTGTTGCACACCAGGTAACACATCTGACTTTTGTGGGCAACATTTCTGTGGTTGGCAACATAGCAAGAGCAGGTAGGGCTGGATTTCCCTTAGTAGTTGTTTGTGCTCTGCTTATTTCATTAATTTCACAAAACTTCTTCATAGGTGATTTTTTTTTCTGAGAGAAAAGAGGGAGAGTGTTTTGTGGTGTAAACAGGTGCTCCATAATTCTTCTCTGCAGCATTCTAAATGTAAGCCATACAGTGTGGGAGTTGAAGATGAGCGTTGCTGCATGGATCTGAAGTAATTTTGCCTGGAGGTAATTTGTGAAGTGCTTTTGTTGAAGCACTTGGATGCTTTCCTGAAGTTCTTCTGCATAAGCAGCAGACTACTGTCTGCATCTCATCCAGAGACACCGAGTTCTGCTAAACCTCTCCAGGTCTGAGATCCTCTGCAGCTCCCATCCCCAGCTATGTTTATTGTGTTAATAAGGGAGGAAGGGCTATCAGATTATAAGCATTATGTGTCTCTTTCGGAAAGCTGGCAAGGAATATTTCACTTTATAGAGGAAGAAGTATAAGTAGGATGGATGAGTAAGCTTGACAGCAAATGAAGTCCCTGGCAATTGTGATGCACTCAGAAATTGAAAATTACTGCTCTATTACATCCCTATTTAAAGGAAGTAAACGTCTTGTGTTCATGAGCTGTAAAATGTGACTTAACAGTTTTAAGAACTGCCTGTTAACCAAGTAGATGGGTGGGATTGCAAGAAGTAACTGTACGAAGATTCTGAGATTATGCTGCTGTGGTGTTGAGTAAGTAGCTGTGGAGATGTTGCATCTCTGCAGTATTTGCTTTGAGGGTGGTGGGTCCCTGCTGAATCTGTAGGATAAAGAAATACCCACTTTGGCTGTTTCTTCATGTGTCCAAATAAGACAATATTCCACATCATTAATTGTGCCATTTCCTATCTGTCAGCTAACATTGGATAAAAAGCCTGTTAGCAAGACTAACAATGTTTTTCCATTGGTTTTATAGTCCTGGCAAAGTGCTAGTTAGGTCACATTTGTATAATAACCTGACTATGCACAGTATTTACTATGTTTTTTCATTTACTATTTACAGTATTCCTACTCTCATACCACATTTGTTTTGCAGATCAGGCCTTTTGCCATGGAAGCTGAGGAAACGATGGAATGTATCCAGGAATTCCCTGAACACTATAAAGTTATTTTGGATAGACTGAATGAACAACGTGAGCAGGACCAGTTTACGGATATCACTCTGATTGTCGATGGTATGTACAGGCCTGAGAAACAGTTGGTATTCAGAGAATTCTGAAAGCTATGCTAGGATGCTGTTGGATTTTTCATGGTCAGGTATCAGACTGGGCTGTGAACAAATTCTTGGTTCTGTACCTGTATGCAAGTTACTTGCAAAGTTTCATCGTAGTGATTAATAATTTTGCTTCTGCTTTCCCAAACAAGAGACTAAAAGATTTTCAGATAGAAGCCCTCTTTGAAACTGCTGTGGTATATTTAATGTGCTAAGCATTCCCAAAACATTGTTAAAATATTTTTCTCTGACTTGTCTGACTGCATGCAGAGAATTTTTACAAATACTCTGTCTAAATAAAAAAAACCCACACCTTGAAGTAATATTCTCACAGCAGCTTCTCTGGTACCTGGCTACTATTTTAATGTATACTTAAAAAAGTGTAGAGCACACAACTTTTTGTATATGTTCTAAGGGTATGTTTTAAAAGGATGATGAAGATACACGCACTTACTGTTTTCTTAGAAAAGGTAGTATGTGCTAGATCACTTAAATCTGCTTCATATTCCAAACATGTCTTAGAATGGATGATTGCTACAGGGAATATAGGCAGTGTCCATTAGGACTTAATAAAGGACTACCACCTGATCTTTAAAAGGAGAGCAGCAACTCACTTGAAGAAAAGTGATCCTACAGAGTCCAGATTAGAAGGAGGTAAGCAAACGAAGAAAAACAAATATTCTTCAGGGATAGCCACAGTTTCACTGACAGCACTCGCCCTTAATGCTTGCTCCTGCTCTGTCATTACCAAATCCATGTGTTGAACGCAGAGCTGGTTTTGTGTGTGCAGCTGTGTAATTCTAATCCTTGTTGCTTCCTTTATTCCTGTATCACTGAGCCCTATGAATGTTCATGCCTCCACTGGGGAGAAGAAACACAGATTCTGGAAGACAGAAAGAATAGAGCAGAATCACTTTTGTTCTGTAGTGTTTATGCTGGTGATGATGATAACATACATCAGTCTGCAGGAGCAACAAAAACATGAGACATACTGAGCTGAGCCTAAGACATACCGAAAAAAGTTTGCATAGAAATTTTCCATAATTCATTTCTCAAATAAGAAACGAGTGAGTGAGTGAGTGAGTGAGTGAGTGAGTGAGTGAGTGAGGTCAGTAATGTCAGCAAGGTTCTGTATGAGAAGGGATGAGCCAGCTGCAGTAGTGTCCTGTGTTACAAGGAGTAACAGTATATGCTGCTGGAATAGATGTTTAAACTGGGTGGTCCTTTTTTCTGCACCTGCCTTTATTCTGCACTATGAAGGGAGGAAGGTGTTACCTTAAATCAAACTTTCTGTTTCCCTTTGCAGGTCATCATTTTAAAGCTCATAAGGCAGTTCTTGCTGCCTGTAGCCAGTTCTTCCATAAATTCTTCCAAGATTTCACTCAGGAGCCTTTGGTGGAGATTGAAGGTAATCTGACGTGTGCAGATCAGAGCATTCAGAATTGTGTGCTCAAGCTGGAAATTATTGTAGCATCCTTAGAACAGGCCAGTGCATAGAATGTTTAGGCTTGGAGTAACAGAATCTTTACCTAGGCCCAACCTCTCCTGCTGTGGGAAGGGATGTCTCCCATAAGACCAGGTTGGTCAAGGACATAGCCAGCCTGGCTTTGAACATTTGAACATACTTGGTCATTGCAGTTAACTTTCTAGATCTTAGTTCTTGTGTTCTGAGACAGCTACCATCACTGGAAAGAAAACCTTCCTCAAGAAAAATCAAAATGAGAACAGTATTAAATATATTGAAAGGGAAAATGTGAGATTATATGGTGCTTTTTCATGATTTTTTCCCATTTTTTTCCCCTAATACATGGCTAGTGATGGTCAGGCAGACCGTGTATATGTTTTAGGGCTAGCAGTACTACACAAAAGCTTTCCCAGAGAAAAGCCATTCTGGTCAGCTGAAAAAGGCTGTCGGTGATGGCCAGTGGCTGATGCCTTGGCTGGGATGCACGAGCAAATCAGACATGGAGCAATACTTATGTGGTAGGCGGGGAGGAAATTAAGTTCCTGGAGCAGCATTTCAGCCTCCAGGAATAGTATTTTTGTGTTTAAATTTTGTATTTTTGAAAGAGCTTTTTGTGCATCTTATCATTCCTTTTATATTTGTCATGGCAAAACTCCACAGTTGTTCCAGACTCAAATGTTTCTCTAGTAGATTTCTTAATTCCAACTTGAGTGAGGTTGGAACTAGGTGATTATAAAGGCCTCTGCCAACCCAAACCATTCAGTGGAGCCATTTAAGGGTGTGATATTTATGAAACTGGCAGCTATAGTACTGTGATCAAAATGGCATGCAGGCAAGTGTGCACGATTCACTGGGAAGATGAGGCTGTGGAATTGTTAACTGTAACTTGTTTCTCTTACCTGTATACAGGTGTAAGTAACATGGCATTTCGTCACTTAATTGAGTTCACCTATACAGCAAAACTAATGGTACAAGGTGAGGAAGAAGCAAATGATGTTTGGAAAGCTGCAGAGTATCTACAAATGCTAGAAGCAATCAAAGCACTTGAAATCAGGTAAGCATATAAGCCTCTTTTTCTTCCCAGCACTGAAGGAGAGAGTCTTAGTAAGGCTTTTACAAGAGCTGGCTGCCAGTATTTAGTAGTGCTGTTTCTTATGCTGGAACCTCCTTAACTTGTGTAGAACCATATATTGTTATACTGTAACATACATGTCGGAACTACACAGGGTAAAACAAGAATGTCGCATTTGTTGGGCTAGAACTCAATGACAAGTGACATGGCTTGTAAATGTTGCTGATGTTGTAGGGCTGTGACTCTGTGGTAGCTGATAGTTGGTCTGTGTCTGTCTGGTGGCCCACACCTGATTGACAGCTGGCTGTGCAGTGACAATGTGTCTCTGGTAGTCAGACATTAACAAGTTTGTGCTGGTGTTTTGATTTTGTGCAGCTTTCTGCTGTTTCTGAGAGAATAAGCAGTGATCTTAAAACCTGTTGCTGCAAAATTAATCTCTCAAACTTCTTGAGTGAATGTAACTGTTGAAGTCAGTTTTATTGGGCTCAATACTCGATCAAATGTTGCTGCAGCACCTGTTATCCAGTACCAGAAACTGTAATCCATTGCCAAAGTCTAGCTTGAAAAAAGTGGGTGCCAGTCCCATCGTGCTGTTTTTCATCCCCTTTTTTCCATTTCACTTCCGTGAAGTTCTCTCATGTTCTTATTTCTTCTGCCTGCTACACTGGTTGCTTTTGGTACATGATCCAAGTGCTCCTTGCAGAGCACCTGTCATCTTGTAGACATCAGAAATCCAGGCTCTATGAAACTGGGTTTAGCTGATCTGTTTTCCTGTGTGTGAGCAGACTAAGGTGACATTTATAAACTGTGGCCTGCAATTACATCGTAAGTTACACATCTGACAGTATGACTTGGAGATACTGGGCAAAATCTTGTCTCTTGTTACTAGAAAGCCTGGAAGTGATAGGGAGTGCTTCACATGAAAGGATTCATCACAGTGCAGAGGAAAGTTAAAAGCACAGCTTACTCCAGTCTATTTGATGGGAAGATAACCACTTATTGTTGAAACTGATGATCAGTAGTAAAACCTGCAGCACAGTAGTGCTGTGGATGACTTGAAAGCATTGACTCACTCAGCTGTGTCTGTGTCTAAGATGCCATGCTATCCCTGACATTTTGGAGGAAGAGGGTTATGTATGTGTTATTCAGGGAGAACAGCACAGAATCGAGGGTTGCGTTTAAGACCAGAAAATTAAACTAGAATACTCCTTTTAGATTCTAGTGGCTTTTTTTTTTATGTCAGCTGTTAGCAGTGTGCCTTCCTGAACTATGGGATATGTTAATCCTTGTGTGTATAACCATCATGTGAAGTCACAACTGAAGTGTTTTCTGACAAGCTCAAAGTACTGCTTGCAGCTGCACACAGAGAACAGAGCTTAAGAGGTAAATGGCATAGGAGGGACTTGAACCTTATTTCTGAGTAAGCAGGCCAAATGATTTATTATTTATTATTTTAGAGGGGATTTCTTTCCAAGTACAGAATTTCACAAATTTTTAGGTAAGTCATTAGGTTTGCTGGTTTTTCTTCTTGATAGACCCTTTGTATCATTCAAACAGAGCTATTTACTTTAAATACTTAAAAATATTTTATCGGCTTTAACAATGTTATTTTACTGCACTAAGAAGTGTAGATTAAGGACAAATTACCTTCCGATGTGCACACAGATTATGTGTCTGATTTTCACACAGATAATGTGATCATCATTCAACTTTGAGTAACAGCTAAGGGAGTGTTGGATGCAGAACCTCATTACTAGGCAGGAGTTACGTCATTGTTAAGTGATCTTAACCATGTCTATGCAAATGCTTTTCAGGAACAAAGAAAATTCATCACCCTTAGAATCAAATGAAGCACAAGCTAAAAGTAAGCCAAAAAAGAGGAAGATTGCTGAAACCTCTAATGTTATCACAGAAACACTGCCATCTGCAGAATCAGAACCTGTTGAAATTGAGGTTGAGATTGCTGAAGGGACGATGAAAGTGGAAGATGACAGCATTGAAACCCTTGAAGAAGTAGCTTCTGCAGAGCAATCCATAAAATACATACAGACAACAGGTACATCAGATGAATCTGCTTTGGCTCTTTTGGCAGATATCACCAGCAAGTATCGTCAGGGAGAGAGAAAATGCCAGATCCAAGAAGAAGGTGATAGTGCAACTGACCCCTCGTGCAAACAGGTAGAAGGTATTGAAATTGTGGAACTTCAGCTGTCACACATGAACAATTTATTCCACTGTGAGAAATGTAACCGTTCATTTAAATTGTTTTACCATTTTAAGGAACACATGAAAACACACTCTACTGAGAATTACAAGTGTGACATATGCAATAAAAGATACCTACGAGAGAGTGCTTTGAAACAGCACCTCACCTGTTACCACCTTGATGAAGGTGGTGCCAGCAGGAAGCAAAGACCTGGCAAGAAAATACATGTATGCCAGTACTGTGACAAGCAGTTTGACCACTTTGGGCATTTTAAAGAGCACCTTCGGAAGCACACAGGTAAGAACACGGCTAAAGTCCTGTGCTTGTGGCCTTCATTCTAGTATTTTGGACTTTTGCATGTTTTGGGGAAATAGATAATATGCTGAAGAAAATAAATGAATCCTGAGTGCTAGAAACACTTGGCTTCTTCTTATAACTGAAATGGTGGTATGTCTTTGTTTGCTCATGTTTTTCTTTGTTCGTGTTTTTTTGTTTTCAATTGATGTAGACTTTTCAGGGATTGCCAATTAAAAGTAGGCACCTGAAACCAGAAAGTACTAAGGAAGCTTCTCTGTCAAGTCTATTAAATCTTAAAGATATTTTTCAAAATACTTCCTTAAGGCATGTCCCCTTCTTCAAAAATACCAAACTGAAGAACTGCTTTTATTTTCAGAATTTTCTGTAAATATTTCTGTTGAAATATTATTTAAATCACAATCTTCTTGGTGGAATACACTGTAGAGAGTTTCTTTATCTGACAGTTTCTGAATAATTGCCTATTAGACGTAAAATACCCTCAAAGAATTATGTCTTGTACCATCTTTGGAAAATTTGGAAAGTTTTACCCTTGCTCTTGTCTCATCTATGATTTGAATTTTCTTCGTTAATTAAGCAAAGCTACTAAAACTAGTAAAACATTTCTAGTCATTATAGTACACTTTTTTTACTGTGAAATCTACCTCTTTAAAATCTGGGTAGCAAAAATATTTTGAGTATAAAGTGATTTGTTCTCCTCGTTTTTCTTTTTAGTATGGGAGATTATTTCTTCATCATCTCATTGAAAAATCTGCTGAGTGAACAGACACTGAGAATGACACAGATAACTGAATGTAAAATATACATGGACTTGAGCTTCCAAATGTTTTTGTTTAATGTGCCAATCATGAGTCATAAGTAAAAGTTTAATGGAGAGTAGTAGCTCTGTTTCTTTTGCAGCTTGTTATTGTTAAAGCCTTTTAATTAGAATGTCTTAATTTAATTAGAATGTATCTGTGTGCTAAGTATTCATATATGGCTGTGTCCGATCTATTCCAAATAGCCTCCTAAAAGTTCCTTTTATAAACAAGCTTTGGGAAGTCCTTATCCCCTGTAAAGCAGGGAGTGTTTCTCCATTATAAGCAATTCAAATACATGCAGTTAATAAAATTTTATTCAGGAAGAAATTTGTGGCAGATAACCACAGTAATCCAAAATATGTAATACGTTCGTCGCTCTTGCAAAAAAAGAATTTTCAATTCGAAGTAAGCTAGCATATCACGAGAGGTACAAAACACTTAATATATATTGATCTAATCAGTATAACATATGGAATTACTTAGAGTTTAAAATTTTCAAAAGCCTTAAGCTTAAAAACAGATATCAGTATTTAACTGTGATCTCCTAAGGAAAATGAAAAAATCTCCCATTTTATTATAGGCTTTCTAAATTCTGAGCTCTGTATAGCACTGGTTGAATGCTAAAATGAACTTGAAAGGCCTGTGAGAATGTCCGAAAAATATTTTATCCTGTTGTCGTTCAATCATTATACCAGCAATTACATTAAAATAGCAGTGGAGCAGTAATAGGATTATAAAATGGCTTGGGTTGGAAGGGACTTTGGACATGATTTAGTTCAACCGTCTGGGGCCAAGGGCAGAGTACCTTCAAGTAGACCATGTTGCTGTGAGCCACATCAGCCTGGCCCTGAGTACTTCTCAAGAATGAGACAACCACAGCTTTTCTGGGAAACTTGTTTCAGTGCATAACCACCCTTTGAGAAAATAATCTCTTACTTACATCTAACCTAAACCTACTCTGTTTCAGCTTAAGGCCATTCCCCCTTTGCCATTATCACTACATTTCCTTGTAAAAAGTCCCTCACCAGCCTTCCTGTAGACTGCCTTTAGGCACTGGGAGGTGCTCTTAGACCTGAAGCTTTTTCTTCTCCAGGCTGAACAACCGCATTGCTCTCAGCCTGTCTTCACAGCGTAGCTACCAGGAGGATCTGCTCCATGATTTTTAGGGCATGGAGGTGAGACTGACTGGCCTGTAGTTCCCCAGGTCTTCCTTATGAAACGATTATGGTTCTGCTTTTCCAGTCATCTTGAACTTCACTGCACTGCCACACCTCAAATTTTATGGATAGTTGCTTAACAACTTCTTTCACCAGCTCTCAGGACCAGGAGATGGATGTCATCAGGTCCCATGGACTTAGTTTTTGTGTCTGAGTTTGTCCAGGAGCTCTTTTGTCATCCATGCATGCTCTGTAGAATCATAGAATCACTGAATGGTTTGCATTGGTAGGAACCTTGAAGGTCATCTAATTCCAAACCCACTAGCTGCTTGGGCAAAATCCATGATTTTTGACCTGCAAGACTGATGTCATTTTAGTGTCCTTTCTGCCTTTCCTGTACACTTCAAATTGTAGCATTTTGTAACCATTGAGGGAAATGTTCCCACCATTTAACGTATTTGTGTAGCTTTTAGGTATATAACTGACACTAAAGTTACTTATGAATGTCTTTTGAAAAGCTTATTAGGAAATTGTAAATATTCCTGATAATTGTTTTTCCACTGCAATAGCCAATAACTACCGCATGCCTGAAAATGCAGGCCTTTCAACTAGCTAGGATTGATCCTCCTGGCATTCACTGAAACGGCTCAGCCTCTTTTGGAGTTCATTATCCATTTGTTTCAGCAGTGGTGCTGGTGGCAGTACGTATACAGATTATTACAGACTTTCAGAGGAAACACACTCTTCCAGGTTTTTATTGCATTTTAATTTGCTTGAATGTCATTGTGTTTGTGCATGGTGCAACACCGTTTGTTCAGTACCATTTGATGACAGCATAGTACCTTACATGATAATAAGACCTGCTCTCAGCTTCCCCTGCTGTTGTCTTTAGCTGGCTTCTATGTTTGATACTGTGGTTGAAATGAAGTGGCCAAACTGAGAGGAATTTTTATCTTGCTTGTGCCCATTTAGGTCCCTCTGTGCTTTCTCGTTGGTGTACTTTGGGGGAAAGCTGGATGTGGGGTTTTTTTTGTTTTAGTATTGATGCACTGTTATTTCAAAATCATTCTGTGCCAGCTTTGTTTTCTGGAGCTCAGTTTCAAGCATAAGCTATTATTACTGAAAATAAAAGGTTGTATTTTTAAATACTTTCTTTTTTAATATGTCACCTTGTATATTGGTTAATGTTGATTCTTTAATTGTAACTATTAGCAGATGAAAAGTGTGAAATAGCTCCTATTTCTTTAAAATTTTTTCTAGAATAGTAACATCATTTCCACAAATACCTTAAAAGCTACTGGTAATTGTTACATTGGTTTTTTTCTAAATGAGAGTTATGACTCTGCATCATTTTTTGCCCTTTTATATTCAATTTTCATCTCTTTTTCTGCAGAATAATCCAGTTCTCTACATCTTTACAGTGTATTTATCAACCTAGACAAGAGGTAGAGAGACCTGAAAGAAGACTGGCTGGTTTTATATGCTTACAAATCCTTGTATCTGTCTTAACAGGTGAAAAACCCTTTGAATGTCCAAACTGCCATGAACGTTTCGCCAGGAATAGCACTCTCAAATGTCACCTGACAGCCTGTCAGTCTGGAGCTGGTGCTAAAAAAGGAAGAAAGAAGCTCTATGAATGTCAGGTGGGTAATGGAAGTAGGTGCGTCTGAATTAGCTACCTTCCTGCTTCGAGGAGCATGGGAGGACTGAACAGGAGAGGCAGTGAGCGTGGGCAAGGATTGAGTCCAACTCCCAGCCTTGCACGGGACACCCCAAGAGTCACTCCATGTGCCTGAGAGCATTGTCCAAACGCTTCTTGAGCTCTGTCAGGCTTGGTGCTGTGACCACTGCCCTGGGGAGCTGTTCCAGTGCCCAAACACCCTCTGGGTGAAAAACCGTCTAATATCCAAACTAAACCTCCCCTGACTCAGCTTTAGGCCATTGCCTGAGGTCCTGTCACTGTCGCCACAGAAAAGAGATCAGTGCCTGCCCTCCTCACAAGAAAGTTGTAGACACTAGTGAGGATGGATGACATTCAACCACAACATGCAGATAAATTCTCACATCTAAGTTATGTCCATTTAAAATATGGAATTACTGATGTGGAGCCTTATAATACTTAAAATCATAGAGATTCTTCTGGGTAGGCTGCATTTTAGTGGTCTTTCTGCTTCTTTTTCAAAGTTCTTGATACACTGACCTATGCCTTTCCCACTTCTAAGCATGTTTCACTAAAAGTGAAGCCCAAAGTCCAAAATGCAAATTACTATTTAATTTATTTTTTTTATTCTCTGTTTGATACCAAACATACTGATTTTGTCTGGAAGGTAATTACAACTTATGACAGCAGTCTGTAGTATTTTTTAAGCAAAATAAATGCTGTAGAGAGTGATAGGATACTTTGTCTCTATATGTAACTGACATTTGAAAAACTGTTGAGATAAATCTAACTTCTCTTTTAAAGAGCTGATTCAAGTCATAACATTTTCTAAACTTCATCCTCTCACAGATGTTGTGAATGTGGATTTGTGTGCCTTCTGCCTGCAGAAACTGCAGTAATTCTTTTAGAACGTCTAGAATTTTTAAAAAATTTTTCTCTTTAGAACTAAATTTGAACAAATAGGTCTTTGTTCACTGAACAAAGAGGAGAAAAAACTGCCGTCTTCATGAGTCCTTTCAGTGCTCTTCAGCTGTATGCCTTGAATACTGAATTAGATTCTGTGTGGCAAGAACAATAATTATGTGCCTGGGCATTGCTGATAGTCATTATCTTTATATATAACTGATTTTGAATGTTTATCTATAATATTAGTATTTTAAAAACTATGTGCAATCTCTTTCTGAAATGTGAGTCTGGGGGAAAAAGGTGTGGCAATAGTGTTACAACCCATTTTAGCAGATTTCAGCAGCAAAATGGAGAGGTTTGTCTGATTTCACAGACCTAGTCTTGATTTAATCCTGTCAGATACTCCCTTCATCATCTTCCTGTGCTCTTACTGCAAATTATGAAGAGATAAAACATCCTGTTTCAAAACTGTTTGCCAACAGCGAAGGGGTGTTGAAATGTGTTTTGTTGTTGCCTTCTACAGCAAAACACATTTGCATGGACAAATCCTCCTGAGCCTGTGGGTTTTTTACTCCAAGTCTGACTTTACCCCACTCATCTGTCTCCTCTACCCTGCATCTCATTTATTTCTGCAGTCTCTGTGTGTTGTTTTCCAGCTATTTACCTGCAGTTCCAGCTGAAGGGAAGGAAGGGAGCTCATGTGCTTTGTGAAAACAGCATGTCTACTGTTGAGGCAGTACTTTTGGCTGGAAGAGAATGAGAGGGATGGAGTTTTAAATGTTTTATCTGCTGAAATCACTCAAGTGGAGTATTTTTTAAATCACAAAATGGGAGCATTCAGCCTAGCCTGTTAAACCTCACAATGTCATGAGCAAGTGAAAGCTGACAAGGAAAAGTTGTTCAGTAGTACTGCATCTAGAATGCCAGTAAAACAACAGTCTGCATTACACTTTCATGGCACCCTATTAATGCATAAATATCTTTCCACCCAAAACTCTAATTCCAGACATGTATTGATTGGAGTATGATACTGTACATGAATTTCAGATGAGAAAACTTTCAAATGCTCTACTGACTCGTGAATTTTGTAGGTATCTTATGTATACACACCTCAAAATAACTCACCATTCTTAAAAAAAAGAATAAATATCAAGTCCCCTGTTAATTTACAGCTTTCTTCTCAGCTTTTACCTCTAATATGTGTGTTTTTTTCAATCCAAGTAGCAAGAAGCTGTACAGTGTGAAGCCATGATCTCAGCTAGATGCTGTATTTTGTCACATTTTTGTTGGCACTGTTTAACATGCTGTGTCTTTTGTTTCAGGTTTGTAACAGCGTGTTTAACAGCTGGGATCAGTTCAAAGACCACTTGGTAATACACACTGGTGACAAACCCAACCACTGTACCTTATGTGATTTGTGGTTTATGCAAGGCAGTGAGCTGAGAAGGCATCTCAAAGAAATGCACAATATTTCAGAACTAGTAGTGACAGAAGAGGTTCTTCCAGTGGAAGCTATGGAAGCTGAACCAGTAACATCAATGACAATAATAGAACAAGTTGAGCAAGTGCATGTCTTACCAGTAATTCAAGTACAAGTGGATCCTGCACAGGTAACTGTGGAACAGATGCACCAGGATCTCATACAGGACAATCAAGTGAAAGGCACACAGATGGAGGAACTACAGGAACAGGTGCAGATTAGTTACCTGGAAGTTGAACACATTCAGACTGAACAAGGTGCTGAAGTTCATGTGGAGCAGTTACATGTCGAGCACGTAAATCAAATACAGATGGAAGAAGTACAGGCAGAACTTATAGATGGAACAGACCTTGAACAAGTAGAATATCAAAGTGTTGATCAAGGAGAAGCAGAAGAACAGGATCATAATCAAGTGGATGATGCAGATAAGGAACATAATGAGCAAGCTGAAGACTTAAAAACACAATTAATGGACACACAAAATGCAAAAGTGGATGACTAGGACAAATAATGACACTGCAGTTTTAAGAATGAAATACCAAATTATTTTTGTTAACTTTTACATTGGGTTTTGAACCGTCACTGGTCACCTTTCCAGTATGCTGTCCATAGAAAGCTGGACAAGTGGACCAAAATTAGCTTTCGTCATGTACAATTAGACTTCTCTCATATGTGAAAAATACTTCCCCATTCATGTAGTGCCATGGAACAGAAACTACCACAGACACGGACAACTTTGTGGGATTTTTTTGCAATGAATAGCTTGTATCATTGTTACACCATTCCTGGGCATAAGTAAAAGTAATTTCACCTCTTTTCCTCTTGCAGTAGAAGCAAAGTCTTGTAAAAATTTGCAGGATATCTGCAGCAGGAGAATCAGTAAAATCTGAGGGGTTCTGCTGTAAGTGGCAATTACGTATCTGTGAATTTTTGGATCTTAACTTTCAGGCTGGGCTAAAAGCACTGTTGCTGGAGGTCTCTGAGCACAAAAGTCCTGTGCCTTTTCAACACTGAGTGGTTAAATTTCCACAAAGTTTCTAGGGTTTTTGAGAACTTAGTTCTGTAAAAGGCAACGTAGGTAATGTTATAGTGCTTTATATTTTTGCTTGAAATTGCCAGTTACTGATTTTCTTTTTGCATTACATTTAGAGGCGGGGGGGCTGAGGGAGGGAACAGACGTCACTTGGAGGCAGCAGGACACTCTAAAAGGGACACTTAAAAATAGGAAAGGCTTAGTAGAGTCTGATAAACATGATTTGGAAGAAAGCTACGAGCAGGCTCTTCTTTTATAAATAATCATTTTTGAAAATGAATATGTTTAAACATAAATATAGAAACTTGTCTATATGCTATCAGGTTCTTGGTTTTTTTTTTAAATGAAATTCTGACACTTGACAAAAAGATGTGCTAAACATAAAAGTAAAAGCCATAGGTATGAGTGCTAAACTGTGGATTGAAAAGTAGAAGTGTAAATAGTTTAATCAATATTAGAAAATAAAACAATACCAACCATTAAATGTTGCATTATTTATTTCATCCAATATATTAGGAACAACTGAGTGACTGGCAGTTAAGTGCCAAGTTCCAGTGTTAAGGATCAATCTAATTTTTAATATGATTAATAGCTTTTTACTGTAAAGTTAGATTCGTTTAGAGAATGCTTGTCTATGGTCAAAGATGTTAAGAATGTCTTAATTACTGCTGGAGATTAGAGGTGCTCCAAACTCCTGAAGAAACTTTTATTTTCAAAGCCTTAAATGAATGGAAGAATTTTTGCAAGGACAGTCTCTACTGCTCTTGGTAATACTATAGCTCTTACTTAAAATCAGGCTTTTCTATTCAATCTTCAAATGCAGAACTGTTTCCTGGGATTTGTGCTTTTATTTAGTTTCATTCAATATTACTGTGTTTCATCATGGCCTTTGAGAAACTGTTGCAAAAGAAACATGGATCTCAATTAAAATTTCAAACAATTTGATTAATGTAACTTGCATTCTTTTATTATGTTTTATGTTTTCTGAGATGCAAGTAAATCTGCAGTGAGATTCTGTGCAGGGGAAAGGATGTGGCCCAATGTTAATCATGAGAGTAAATTTTAGGTATTATATTTATACCTGGCTTCTGATAAGCAGCTTGTCTTCTGATAACATGGAACGGACAGGCCTGTTTGCTTAGCTGCCGAGCTCTAAAATTTTTTAGGTATAAATGCAGATAGTGTAATTTAAGGAACAATCTCTCTGTGCATCTGACCAACAAAGCGAAATTTTATGTAGTTTTTAAGACGAATGTATATTGAACAATTCCATGGTATTGGCAGCAAGGCCGTGGTTGGTAAGCACAGTTGGGCTGTTCTCGTGGTTCTGTTTGCTCTCCCCTTTTCAACAGCAGCACATATGGATTCGCAGGAGAACGATGCTCTGCGGTTGTGCCCAGCGTCGCCTGTTCCAATTCCCGGTGAGGCTGGGCGGGAGCACCGTGTCCCCTCCTCACCCTGAGGGACACGGAGGAAGGCTCTCAAGAAATAACTGCTACACAGGGCCCTTCCCCCGTCCCCCGTAACTTCTTTCCCAAATGACTGAAGCCCAAAATTCTTGCCGGTGCCCGCAGCAGCTGACCCCGCAGGACGAGGGAAGGGTGTGGGAGCTCCCGGGCCGGCCGCCGGGAGGCGGGGAAATGGCGCGGCCGCCCTTAGCTGTAAATGGCGGCGCCGGGCCGGGTCCCGGGAACGGCTGGGAGCCTGGGGCCGGTGGCCGTGGCAGGATGCCGGGAACGGGCGGGCCGGCGGGGCCCAGCGGAGCCGGGGGAGGCAGCGGGATGGAGCCGGGCCCCCCTTCGCAAGGAGCTCAGCTAAGGGCTGGGGGCTGCGGGCCGGCGGACGAGCCTCGTCGGCCTCTGCCGAAATGTCACTGGAAGAGTTTTGGTAGTTTCAGCAATAGCGCGTCGCTGCTGTTTTACTGTGTTTGCCTAGAGGCGAAGTACGCTGGCGACGTGGAATCGTAGAGACACTCCAAACCTACCTGGACGCCTTGCTGTGTCACCTGCTCCAGGTGATCTTGCCTTGGCAGGGTGTTGGGCCCCCTCCAACCCTAGAGAACTGCAGGTTTTTCCCAAGAGATTACTGGTGCGGCATCCCGCATCTTCCTAATGCCGAGCCGTCTTCAAAGCCCTCAGATCAACATGAGGCAGGACCTTGGTGTGATCCCCCCGGCTGCCGATTGTTACCTAAACGCAGATTGTGTGAGGCGTACGTGTGTTTTATCTGAGACCCTCTCGCAGTTGGGGCTAACTGGAGCCTGAGGCAAAAAATGTTTTGATTAAAAAAAATCTCATCCCGTGTTTGACCTACAAAATACACAATAAATTCCTTGAGAGGAGCAGGGACATGCTGCAGTATTTTCTGGGTTTTGGGTTGTTAATTCTTTCGACAGTGCAGTCCGTGTTCCTACAATTTCATAGCAGGAGCAAACTTGTGGTTTCGGGATCTGCTCCTTTAAAGGAAGCAATCTGGCATCTAAGTTCATCTACACCCAGTAGATTTGTTGACATCATGGGTGCACAGGTGTTCCAGCCTGTTTAGGTGGTCCCAGTTCAGGAAAACTAAACACTGGTGCTTGTTATCTGAGAGAAAAGAGTATTTGCTCATCTATATGTAAAAAAACCCCACCTGCATTTAAGAAATATAATTCTATCAAAAAGAATAAATTACATATATTTTTCTTGCACTAAGTAATTTCTTTCAAAATATTTTGTCAGATCTACAACAGTTCCAGGACCTGAGCAATTTCATGAATGGAAATGAGCAAATTATTTATTTTGTTGAGTTTATTTTTCCTGAACATTTTAATTTTGTAATCTAATGCCTTTCGTTCAGTGATGGTTGTTTTCTAAATAGTACCTTATCCAAGAAACAGTGTTGAGCACTTTAGAATTTTAGTTAGTCCTAGATAATCAGTCTGTTTGGGAATTAGGAAATAAAATACCTGAACATGCCAGTTCTCCTATTCTTACAGTTGCTTGTTTGGGATCTCTGTGTTGTTTTAAAATCGCACCTCTGATGTGTTTTTAAAAATGTCCAGTTGCGGAGTCCTTAGATTTGCCAGATGGGAAAACAGTGATTTTGTGAACTAACACAGGATCTGCACTATTGCAAATACAAATAATTCATTATAACACATTTAAATGTACTGATTGTGTTTTGAAGGCAGTTAAATTGCACTGGAAGATAGTTGGGTTTTTCATACTGCAGCCACATTACAATAAACTGATCTGTTGGCCCTTTGCTATAAAGGAATTTTTTTGTGGTTCCTGTAGGTTGAACTTCATGGCAGGATTTTCTGGACTTCACCGCTGGGAAAATGCTCTGGAGTGGGGCCACTGCAAGTTCCCACTCCATGAGGTACTGACCCAAGGAAATGCAGCATTGTGGCAGCTGTAGTGCTTTATCTGGGGGAGCTGCTTGTCAGGTACACATTCAGAAGTTGCTCTTTGTGGGAGGATTTGGGGTTGTTGCTCTTTTTTTAGAGGCCAAGTTATGCTGAGGTGAAAGAACACAATGAAGGACAGCACGATTTTGAACCATACTGACAAGTGATGGGATTAGGTCCTTATAGCTGGAACATCACACTATTTCTTCATTGCCCATTTGAACCTCCACTGTTGTTCCAAAGCCGTAGAAGTTGGGTGTGTTTGCTTCTTTTCCTGATATTTACTCTGAGTTGGGAAACAATCTTTGAAATTCTTGGCTAACTCAGAGAAAATCTCTAGCATGGCTCTTCTCGTTTTTAAAAAAAACCCAATCCTTCATGCATAGACAGCTCTCTCTCTTAGGACACTTGGCAAATATTGTTTAGCTCAACCTCTAACTCTTCCTGTGAAGTACCTAAATGGCTTTTATTTTCCCCCTTTTGAAATTTTTTTCAGTGTTTTTTATGGTTACACAGACTAAATAATTCTGCAAGCAGGTAGTAATGGAACTGAAGATACTGTCCAGTTTTCTGACTTTCTCTTCTGAAGCATGGAACTAAAAACTCTTCTCATTGCAAGGCAAACAAGTTATCAAGAAAGGTAAGTCCAAAATAGAAATCAGTGTATCGCTTGCTTGAAATATGAGAGGACTTTGCCTGCTATGGGAAGTATAGGGTAATATTCACTTTCTTATATTAGTAAAATAAACAGTAACTTACTCATTACCTGGAAAATTATTTGGAAACCACTAATATTTTCTGAGAAATTACACATTTCGGATAGTATCCAAGGATTTTCATTGCTTTCAGCGTTAGTGCATCATACAAGCATCGCTTCTGGTTGTGAATTGGTATTTTAAGATGCAGAGACAGTTAGAAATTATACCAGTCTGAATATCTGCAATGAAATAATTGTAAGTATGACTGTGCTAGTGATAAATCTTGTTAATGCTGCATGGAGACAGATCTGTTCTATGCGGGGAGGATTACTGGGATACATTTTCTGCTGGTTGTCATGGCAATCAAATCCATGCAGCTGTATGGCAGTGCCTTAATCTGTGCGTGCAATGTAATCCAGTTTCCAAATTAGTTTGTCTAGTTCTGAGCAGATTGATAACAGCTGGATTAAATGCTCTCCATTCACTTCATTGGAAATAGTGCCCAGAGTCCAGCCAATACTCCTCCGATCTTCCCAGAAAGACACAGTGTTATACCATGGAGCAATTTCATTCTTATAATGGCAGTGTATGACTTGCCTCAGTGTCCCAAGCCCCATGCTTTTCAGGTATTTATAATTAAATGTTCTCAGTCTGAATTATTATGTAATTTATGTTTTAGAGATTGTATCAGAAGTATAAGGACTCTTTAGTCCCTCATTAAGATAATCTGGTTATTATACTGTGCAACAATGCATGCTGATACGATCATGACTTTTAAAGCTGTAATTGCAAAATAAGAATGTGTTTAATCTGAAAGGAACTTAGAAAACGTATTACCTGCAAGGCAATTAGAGTGTGCTTGAAAACTCACCTGTCTTTGAACAATTCAGGACAACTAATACAGATGTGACCTGATCCCTCTTTTATTGTTTTGCAATTACTATATTTTTACTTCCACTGCATTTCCTGTAGCTTGCTGAAATGTACTTCTGAACTTCAGTGTTTGAGAAAGTTCTCACAAAGTCAGGGTGAGCAGGCTCAGTTCATATGTGCAAGGTGGCCTCTTTGAGAGGCTGTGTTTGTGTAAAATGACAGACCTGTCCTCTACAGCAGGCCTGTGGATAAGGGCAGTTTTTTGGACAGCACAGTTGAAAAAATCCATTTTTCTTCATCCCACATGGCTTGATTTTACTGCCAGTTGTCTTCTCTGCCCTGCCAGGCCACCATGAATTGAGCTAATTGCGGGCTGAGAGGAGCAGCATGAAACTGGGCTTATAATTACAGAATGAGAATGTAACAGTGTTTCCCATTTTCAGTTTCCTTTTTACACACAACAGAGTGATGTACATTTGGGGTTTTCTCATTGGTTGCAGATTCCACATAATCCTCATTTAGGAGCTAGGTTTTCCAGAATTCAGATTGAAAAGTCTGTTTCAGCCCGTGCCCAAGTCTAAAAATTACAATGTAGGACTGAGCCTGGGGCTCTGCTCCTAAATAAGGTTCCACTTCTCTGCCCAAGCATGGCGTAATTGCACCAAAGGAGAACTGATCGCTGAGTAGTCAGTGTTTAATTCCCAGTGCAACATTTCCATTAGCATTTAATAGGGAAGTCTTGCTTTACTCTCAGCAGTGTGCAGGGTTGTTTAAGATACCAAAAAGCATGCCACAAGGAGCACAGGGATTTTAGTTTTCTAAGGATGTTCAGCATTGCACAGCTGTGGCACCACACTGACCACAGGCACTTGCACACCTCTGTGGCTGTATGTGTTGAATCCCTCTGCTTGGAAGCGAGCACACTGAGCCTGGGCTTCCTTTACCTGTGCTGCTGCAGCGAGGGCAGAGGGCAGCTGAACTCTCATCATTAAGGGCTTGTGTTTGTAACTGGAACTGCATTTCTGCAGGTGTCACCCACAGGCTGGGACTGCACCTGGAGAGCTGCCCTGAGGCTGGGGACACCCATGAGAGGTTGAAAAATGCTCAGATTCTGCAAGGATCAGATTTTGAAAAAACATCAAAGGAAAGTAGTTCAGAAGTAGAAGGAGTGCAAAGTGAAGAATATGAATGGCTAATTTTTATCTTAATTTGAAGTGTAATCAGCTCTGTTTGGAGAGTTCTCTTGACTACAGTTCATTTGTAATTAAGATTGACTTTTTGCAGAAGTAATAATTTTCAGAAGTATTTTATTTCAATGTCTTTGTTTCTTTGTTCTTGTTTTTCCTTGGGGTTTTGGCTTTTGGGTTTTTATTTTTTTTTAAATCACTCATGCTTTTCTGTCCCAACCCCCTGTTGGCTGCTTGTATCACTTGAAACAGCTCATAACCTTGCTAAAAAATAAAATGCAGGTTTCCCTTAAGAATCAAAGAGCAGGGACACCAGTAAGAGCTGGGTTTGGCCTTTTTCCCAGGTGTGGATTATATCTTCCTCTTTGCTGGTCTTTGGTGACCCAGAATTCAATGACTGTCTGAGAACATGTTTGGTAGAAAAGTAAAAGATTGAAATTAAGAAATACCTGTAGCCCTACACATGACATGAAAATGTAGATGTTAAGCAAAGTATATTGAATATTTATGGGAATATATACTAGAGTTGTTGAAACTTTTATGTTTAACAGAACAAACACATTGAGGCTTAATTCTTGCTAAATATCACATTACTTTATTCAAGTGTCTTCCATAGAGCTGTGCCAATAAGCCTGACGTTGAGAAATTATTTCTTAACTTTCCTTCACATGAGGATGTGATAGTTTCATACATAACTTTTGTGTATAAATTGCTACATGGATCTGCATGACAGTCATTGAATTGCCCTCTCTCCAGCTTTCTAGAAATTTACTTTAATGGTTTTCAGTGTTTATAGGATAGCAGAACTGTGACAGTACATTGAAAGATTGCATCTGAGTTCCTTCTTCTAGGTTCAGGACAGGGATTCAAATACACCACTAAGGTCTGCATAAGTGCTCCAGTCATGAGACTGTTTTTCAGAAGCTCTTTTAACCTGAGTTCTGTTGGTTTTGTTTAAAAGCATACAGAACTTGTTTTTGTCCAGATGTACCTGCTTCAGCCGGTAGACTCTGAAATTACAATTAGTTGCAATACAGTTCCCCAGAAATTTTATCCTTCAGAAGTGCTTTGTAAAGTTTGGCAGCTTTAGTACTGGGAGTTCACTTCTAGTTTTGGTCTCCACTAATCCTCCCAGCAGTAAATATAGCATGGCTGTGAAAGGGATTTCAGGGCTATGAACAGGAGATGTCTGCCAAGCCTCTGGAGTTTTAAAGGTTATTTGCACTCATGTTCTATCTGTAAAATTTGTACAGTCAAGGTTTACATCTGCTACTCTAATTTTAATCTGTTTAAGACATTCTGCCAGTAGAGGGGTTGAGAAATGCATTTCAGTACAGAAGTGATACGGACATGCTCAAAAGATGCATGTGTTTTGTCTGATTCTTGGAGTGCAAACACTAGGTCACCTAGTGAAACAACTGAGGAAGGATGAAAAAATGCCTCTATTTACAGTATTTTTTCTGTGTTACTTGAATTACTAAGTTAGAAATCAGAATTAAAAGGAAGTCTAAATTACTTGGAAATAATAATTGCATGAAAACTCTGTTAGAATTGGAATTCCCATACGGGGTGAAGGAAGGAACTCAGCTTCACCAAGCCATATGAGAAGTCCCTGTATACATTTTTTTTCATCTGATTCAGTACTGCAAAACTTTTTAAAGCTCACATCTCTGTCTTACATTTAGTGCTGTAGTAAGAACTTTCAGAATTAGTAAATGTGTTGTTAAGACTCCTTTACATTAAGAGAAATTCCACTGTTGGTACTCAAATAGAAAAAGTGAACAGGTCCCCTCTTCATCAGAAATGACACTCTACTGTTTCCATTACATCCCTTGGGCTAGCAGTTGTGTTTTAGCAATTTTTAAGGTCCAGTTTCAACTTTGTGGTCATCTGTGCATGTTAGTCTTGGACATACAGTAGCAATTCACTGAAGCTGTTGGCTTAACTCCTTTCCTTTTGAACAGTGAATTGTACATACAAGCAGTAATTTTTGTGCAATTTTTTGTTACGAAGGAAAAATATGTAAAACATCTTGGAACGAATATTAGGAGTATTATTATCGGGAGTAAAAAGCAGGAACTGTTACATTGTCTAGAGTGAACAGTAAGTCTGTATGCACATCTAATTTACTTTTCATGAGTTAGAGAGCATGGCAAGGGGTGGTTGTCTTTTTGCCTGGCTTTGGATTCAGCAATGTACACAAATGGTGTATATGTTCAGTTCTGTATAATGTCTATGAAAAATTGTGGAATTCTGTATCGAGGGTGCAGGATATACAGGCTTGATGCTGGTTCTGAATTGTGAGTGGGCTTTCAAATTAATGGTTTTCTGGGTTTTTTTTGTTGAATAAATAACTCTACAGCGTTAAATAGTAGAATGATAAATAACTGTATCTTTGCCTTTAGAATGGTTAGGGGGGCCCTTAGGTTTCAAAATGAGAGATACTGAGAGACATGAGAGAAATGTATGAAGGTCTTTGCCCCAGTTAAACAAATTATACCAGCCCTGTGCTTTAGAGGTTATGAGAATAATCTCTTTCCAGTCCTGTTGAGCTCTGCATGGTGTCATCAGATTAAGTGGTGTGATTAACTGGGTTAAGTACTAATTATATGAAGAGGATGCAAGAGAATGCATTTTTTTTTCTTTTTCTCTCTCAGCTAGTGCTGTGGCACTGAGAAATGCTGCTGCCATGAAGAGACACAAGAGTAAATACTGTCAATGAAGGTTCAGTCAGAGACCTTTGAAGGAACCAGAAAAATCAGTTAATCTTTAAGCTGCAGGCTGAAAATCTTGGTGCCAGCAAAGCAGTTCAAACTCTGGTACATCATCAGGTAATATTATACCAGGACAGTGTCGTGTCTAATCTGAGATGCATGCTGGAGAATTTCTTCAAATACACCTCTTCAGAGCTGATCA